TCTAGTTGACACATTGGTCTCACTCTTCTGGACATCATGCGATCTACAATGTTTGCAGATAACATGCTGCTTAAAGCTAGAAAACGAAGTAACAACTACTTGGGGAAGACACATGCAGGGCAGACTGGGTAATGACGTCCATGAAAATGCAGGAATCTTGTCCGCACAGGAAAACTGCTAAGTGTCCCCTCCTTTCTGGGTGAGGGAACAAAATGTTGTTGGGCAAGCCTCTGAATTGTGGGGAAGCTGTTCTCAGCTATTTACCAAAAATTTCTAAGGCTGCGTATCTGTGCAGGGCCCAAAGCAAAACGCTTTCTTTAATTAAGTCTAGATTAACAAGCAAGCAGCTTTCATTAAGCCTTAGGCCACATATCCTAGTAGATGCTTGAAGTATGTATAACAGAAATGAATGATTCACGAAACCTTTGCTTGGTACTACAGGATAATCACAATTAAGACCCTAGAATTTTGAAATAAATGTTTTTCCTTTCACAAACTAGCATAAGGTTCAAGACCTGGTCCCTACACAGACTGAAAGCTGACAATGGTCTCCTGATTACTCTGAGACCACAGCTGACCATCATAAGGTATAAGAGTATCTAACCCATGAAGACATGAAGAGAGCTATACAGCTCAAAACCCTTACCAAGCAGACATGGCATATACAAGATTTAGCTCAAACAAGTCCTGGAGGTACAGGCAATCCAGGTTCCTGCCTCTTTGCCTCTTTTCTGCATCTCTAACTGGCATTCATAAATTAGGCAGGCCTGGTTCCTGAAGATCCTGCATACATGCTGACATTCTTCAAAAGTGAAGCATCAGAGACAAACTGATGCACAGCCTGGGAGAATGGGAGTTAAGGGAAATCTTCCCAATGGCACAGTTGCAATGCCATGCAGAACACTTGAAACATCTTGACACCTAAAAGGAAAAAAAAGGTAAAGGGGTATGGGTCTATAATGATGCACGGAGGCCTGGTGAAAGAACTACTCAGACAGTGGGCCTAAACATGAACTATGTCAAGTTTGATGACAAAGCTGTTCATGGTGGTACAGGACACGGTGGTTAAGGAGTGAGTTTAAGGCCAGCCTGAAGTACATAACGAGACCCTATATTCTGGTCTTTCACCCCCCCACACACCCCCTAAAAAATTGGTGCCAAAAATCCAAGAGAGGACTAGGGATATAGTTCAGTAGTATAGAAGCTGTCTGGCACATGCTAGACTGTGTGTTCAATTCTCAGTACTGAAGAAATAAAAAGGAGGGAGGAAAGGAGGGAGGAAAGGAGGGAAAATGAGAGGAGGAAAAGGGAAAATAAAGAAAATTAATATGGATCTATAAAACAGTAATGAAATGAGGAAAGGAGGGTCCTAAGACCTCTAAAAGATCATGTTCCATGGCAAGGAACCTGTTACCAATCACATTAATTTGAATACTTCAGAGGATACCAATTAATTTCTTTCTCCATCCACAACCACTTTTGTGCCACAAACTCACAAAAAAGTACCTGGAGATGCAGAAGATGAAAACACGACTTTGGCAATACGGATGGATTTCAGCATACCAAGGAAAAACACAAAATCTCCATACTGACGTTTCTTAGGGAGACCACCCAGTACCTGATGACAAGCTGATCACACTGGACAACGATCATGAAAAGAACACTAATCCATCTTCACAAGGTCGGTTATTCCACATGGACACCCCAAGCCTATTTCTGACAAAATCACTACTCCCCAACTTAAAAACGCCATACAGACTAGAATACCTTCTGAATAATGAAATTTCCAGGGCAAGATGTGTAGCCACTGCCTTGTGCCTGTAAAAGTCACTTTTCTTGCCTTGTCTGTGTCAATTCCCAAGGCGCTTGGCCTAATACAGTTGTGGATCAATTTACTGAAAACTTCAGATATAATAAAGTGCCATGTCAAAGGGCCAGTACTGCTCTGAACCAGTGGCAAAATCACTGACAATTCTCCCCATCAGGAGAGATCAATAGATAGCAGCAAAAATTTATAATTTTGAAAATAAGTGATTTACTTCCACAGAAAACTAGAGTAATTCAGTGCGCAAGGTGTTTGCCGCAGAGGCATGCAGATCTGAAATCACACCTCTGTAATCTCAGTATCCTTACTGGTAAAATAGGAGGGGGAAACAAGAATCCCCCGGAAATGCACAGGACAGTTAGACTGGATGGAGTATGCAGCCATGAACAGTAACAAAAAGAGGCCTGTTTCAAACAAGCTGGAAAGCAAGTTTGTCTTCAGGACTCCCCGTGTATGCTGTCATACACACATGCCTCCTCCCACAAGCAGTGACATGTATGATCCATCCCCCAAGCAATTCTTTAATCAAGAGACACAACCAGGGTAGAGTCCCTGTGAGAAGCAGCTTGTGCTATCCTTGGCCACCGATACTGAACCAACAACAAAAATGCAGGCAACTCTGTACTTGACTTAATGGCACCTTGTCGCTATAGAAACAGCACAGAAAACTACTAATGCAACTTGGAGATTCGGGGGGGGGGAGGGAAG